CACTCCTAGAGCAGCTGGGACTGGCACGCTCCAGTGGTACCGGCTCTGCTGGAGCTCGGCTGGCATGGCAGAGGAGATGGGTCAGAGAGCTGGGCTGTGCCAGCTCTCCTGGGCAGGACGCTCTGCTGACCTGCAGACCTGCTGCATGCATCAGCACCAATACTGTCGCAGCAACGGGCTTAAACACTCGTAAATAGCAGCGGGCCTGTAGCCCGGAGTCAGGGGGGGGTGACTTGTGGGGAGATTACTGGGATTGTTCCAGAGAGAGGGCGTGGGCGTGAGCAAACAGGGTGAGACAGGGTGACATGTTTCTGCACACATCGCAGGGAGATTAGAGAGAGGAGTCAGGGGGCGGGCGGATTCCCTCGAGAGGGGATCCCTGCCCTGTTGGTGAGCGAATTAGATGAGGACTGGGTGTGGGTGGACTGCCTGTGTCCTCGCTTAGCTTTAGGAAACTGCAATGCATGAAAGGCAACGAAAGGCGAACGTGGGATAGCCACAGTACTTTAAAAGGAGTACTCAGCTGCTTGCTCGAACTTGCGCAGCACTCAGTCGACAAGCTTAAATATATCCCGGAGAGAATGCTTATTTTAAATTCATGTTTAAACTGGACAATCTGCCTGAAATGCTATTAAGAAGGGCCAAAGCAACAAACTTCTGATTCATAACAGAGTTTGCTAACCTTCTCATTTACAAACCTGAAAAATGCATCAGAGGACATGTATTTTTATCTTTTAAATGCCCCCCCCCCCCGTTAGCTACCTACATCTGCAGGTTACACTAAGACTCTACTAGAGTAGAACTCCACATCCCTTCAGACCACGTTAAACCACAGCAAGTCCCTCTGCTGTGAACAAGCTGGTAACTGCTGCATCTAATCCCTCCCAATCTGGGGTTTAAGGTTTTTACTTGCAGATTAAGATGCTTCTTATTAACACTTCAATGAAGGCTGCGCAGTAATAGAAGTTTAGAGGATCCCTCCTAGCTCTCAGCTTCCCTGACACATTAAAAGGACAATGAGAAGCTGAGACAGTACATCACTCGGCGCTTTCGACGTTGTGACAGCCATGCAACTGCTAGATCTTGCTCAAATAAGTACAAAAAGGAACTCCCTACTGTAGATCTGTCCATCAATTTACTTACTACCTACTAAATTATTTGTCTGATGCTTTTATCCAAAGCGACTTACGTTTGCACCCATTTATATAGCTGGGTATTACAACAGCAGCGTTTGTAGCACAGCAGATTTGAACCCGCAACCTTATTTACGAGTCCAGGACACTAACCACTGCTCCACACTGCTGCCCTAAACTATCAAGCGTGGATACGGGCGAGTGTGCCTATAAGGCAGGCAGTGTGTTGTGCAAATGCACAGCTGAGCTCTGCCTCTATGGGGATTCAATCAGATTCGTTCGCAGGCTCTGAGCCGTTATCTACTTATGAGTTAAGCTACTGCAGATCAGTGTCCCTCTCGGCATTACCGCTTCCCAACTGTGTGCACGTGTTGGGGCATTACACCTGAGAGCTCGGGTTTGCTAACTAGCACATTCAGGCATCACAATCGGCAAAAACTCCGTTTTACCTGCTGTAAGCAAAAGCACTAGGAAGTCGGCCTCAGCAAGTACAGAGTTCTTTCAAATTCAAAGAACCTTATTGGCAGGAATAACGTTACAGCCTGAGGAACAGGCAGTGAGCCTGCCTCACAAGGTTATATGCGATATACGTAAATGTCCAATAATTCGTTTCTACTGTAAAGGCCGTGTTAATCATACAGTG